CGATCAACTTCTCCTGGAGCATGATGCGCTTGGGCAGTTTTTCGGTGCGGCTGCTCTCCGTAGGCAGGCTCCCCAAAAAGCGGTTGATCTCTGAAACAAAAGACGATAAATAAGGTTGATAAATAACGCGCCGCAAAATTACGCCAAAATTTACTCACCGGCCTCGATAAGGCGCGGCAGATGCTTGAAGGGTTGCTCCGGTTTGCCGAGACGGGCACGTTCGTCGAGCAGCTCGGTGACATATTCAGAGTGTTGGGTGAGCATGGAAGTGTCGTCCTCGGTGAAGGTGTTCTTGTGGCCCGAGGGCTCCTCAGTCTCCGAGTGGCTGCTCATCGACTCCACTGAATGCTGATCGCCTCGCCCGTCCATCGGCTTCAGGTACCGAGCAGCCATCGCAATAGTCGCTGAAAAGGGAAATTTTGGTCAAAGAAAATAGACAAAATCTGGCAAATCGAACAGAAAAGCGAACGATAAATTGAAAATACTATTTTATTTTTGGAATTAAAATATCAAAACGCTGTCAATCAGTGGCTTTTCCAGAAGCCGATCTTCTCGCCGCCGTTACGGTACCATCCGCGTTTTAGGAAAGTGAGGAATTCCGAGATGCACCATAGATTCGTATTACCTTGACTCCACAACTATCTCATTGTCAGCGCTTGGAACGTCCCTGGATCTGTGGAAGAATCCGAGCTACCGAACTTCCGTTCCGCGCTACACCAACTGACGCGGGTCCCGCAGCTATCTGGACGGGCTCGCATTTTTGATCAGCCAGGCTTTCGAAAAATTATGTTTTTGATCGTAGACGTTCGAAAATGAAAATGGGCAAAAATCGTCGAAAAGTTTAATTTCCTAAATGTTCTACATTTTTTGACACTTTTGGATAAAACGCGAAAAAACCTTACTTTGTTGAACTGATCATTAGCGAGTATCCCATATTATAAAGATTATGAGGATTGATACTACGACTTATGGATTTATGAGTTTATGAGTAATGGGGTGGACTCGTCACTAGCCGATCTATCGATTCGCGGGTCATTTAAATTCGTTTCGAAGCGTGGTGTTGATAAGTTTTTATTGCATTGCCCTGTCTTCTCAAAATTGTGGTTCAGTCAAATTTGTTTTAGCATGACGGATCGAAGAACCAAGGACAAATTGTTGCCGGAGGTCCCCGATCGCGTCAATGATGGCCATGGCAATGTCTTTACAAAGGGTCGCTTCTTGGGCAAAGGAGGATTCGCGAGGTGCTATGAGCTGATCCATCCCAGCAAACGGGCATATGCTGGCAAGATCGTTTGCAAAAGCATGCTCGGGAAGCCGTCCGAGAAAGCCAAGGTATTGATCAATTTTTGATTATTTTCTTGCTTCAGCTCGCTCAAGAAATTTCCATTCATCGTGAGCTGAACCATCCCCACATTGTTCGGCTTCACGAATACTTCGAGGACGCTGCGAATGTGTAGGAAATTAGCTTTCGTATCTGACAATTCTTTAGGTATATATTGCTTGAATTATGCGCTCGCCGGTCATTGATGGAATTGCACAAGCGACGCGGCGCCATTACGGAGCCCGAGACGCGATTTTTCGCCCTCCAAATCATCGACGGCATCGACTACCTGCATGCGAAGATGATCATCCATAGAGACTTGAAGCTGGGGAACATCTTTCTCAACGATGATATGCAGGCGAAAATTGGGGACTTTGGGTTGGCGACTAAAATGTCACAAGATGATGACAGGAAAAGGACTCTTTGCGGGACGCCGAATTATATTGCTCGTAGGTACTAGATGCTTCATACATGCAACTTTCTTTTAGCCGAAGTACTCGACAAGGCTGGACATGGTTTGGAAGTCGACGTCTGGGCCTTGGGTTGCATTATCTACACATTTCTTGTGGGCAATCCGCCCTTCGAGACAAGATCTCTGCGCGAGACCTACGAACGGATCCGCTCGAACACCTACAGGTTTCCGACTGGCTTTAATGCGGCGGGAAGGAAGCTTATTGATGACCTTCTAAGGGCGGTGCCATCGCAAAGACCCAAGATTTCGGATGTGAAGAAGGTTTGAGATTTTTGGTCTTCAAGATCATTTAATTTAGTACGCGTTCTTCTTGGAATATACGCCTACAAGCCTGCCCGTGTCATGCTTGACCTTGGCGCCGAAATACAATAAGCCGGTATAGCTTTTGGCAGCATTCATGTGCTTGTTTCTTGTAGGTCTCGGAGGTGACAAAGACAGCGAAGAGAACGCGAGACGCTCCATGCGAGCCTCGGCAACTGACTTCACGCGAGAGCGTTGTGCATAGGGCGGATGTCAAGCCTCCATGCGAGCCGAAAGACTGCTATGCTCAAGAGCTCTACAGCATGATTCATTCAGCCATCCTGAAGGCTCCGACAAGGTAATATTTTGGACAGAATTGAGCGTTTTTCAAAATGTTCTGATTACTTTTTTTTTGGGTTATAGGGAAGTTCTCGTAAACGAAGATCCGGCCGAGTGCCCTGAATGCATCCCAGTCTTCTGGATCAGCAAATGGGTCGATTATTCCGACAAATACGGCATAGGATATCAACTTTCGGATAACTCGGTATCTTGTCAGAAGTTGCTAAATGTTTGGTTCAGGTTGGCGTCCTGTTCAACGATAATTCTCGTCTTATCCTTGACGCAGCCGGTCTAAATCTGCAATACGTGGAACGAGACAACGAGGAATACTACCAAGTCGGAAAAGATGATCTCCAGCACATTCATAAGAAGTGGACCCTGCTCGAATATTTCCGCAACTACATGAACGATCATCTTCTCAAGGCCGGCGAGAAATTTGCACCTCGGGTTTGTTTAGCTTGGTTCGCTGGCAATCTCACTTTTTGTAGGCCGGCGACGAATTGGCTCGTTTGCCATGCCTGCGGAGCTGGTTTCGCACTCGATCTGCCATCGTGTTGCAGCTTACAAATGGGACGATGCAGATCAATTTCTTCAACGATGTCAAGCTAATCCTTTGCCCTCGCCTCGGCGCTGTCACCATAATCGATCGTGCTCATAACCTGCGCTCATTCAAATTAGAACTGCTAGCTCAGTGAGTTGAGGCATCGCTTTTTCATTGTCTGTTTAGGCATGGGCTTGCCGGTGAATTCCGTACTCGTCTTTCCTATGCGGAACTAATGGCGCAGCGGCTGATCGAGAAGCCTTCCGCCGTGCCGGCCGTCAAACAAACCGCCGAGAGAAGCCAAAGCTACAGCTCGCTCAAGAAGAAGCCACAATCTTCTCAAATCTGATCAACCTGGCACTTGATGGCGGTATTTTCTCGATATACTTGAACGTTACTGTCTTTGAATTGGCGTGGGTACAGCAAATAATATGCCAATTCTTCAAAATTTGGCCTTTGCACCATACTGAACTTGTGATCCCTTTTCTGTATAACTGTTAGTCTCTTTTGGCTAAATTTCGATAGATCTTCGAATAAACGTTTACTTCGAATCCTGAACAAAAGGACAAAATGTCAATCCGAGCAGCTCAGAATTTGTATCAGACTTGCTTTTTATACCCGCCTAATGTAGCGGACTGAATCTTTGTCTTACGCACGGTATCATCGCGCTGATGAGCTGTTTATTTACATACAAACGCTTAAAAGTATATATAGAACGAAGTACTAAGCGAGAAGATTGTAAAGAAAGAGTTGATTTTTTTCGCGACGAGTTGAGCGCGGATGCCGTCTTCTGTTGCAGTTGGCAGTTGCCCCGTGCTACTTCTTGGCTGAAAAATCGGAAATACATCATCGACTTAGGCTTCTACCCGGAGCGGACAGCTTGATCTCAGCTGCTTTTGCGAATTTGTTGTAAGCTGGAGTGAAAGTGTCCTTGAATTTATTCTGAAGCTCGGGCTCGACGATTAGGCCCTCCTAAAGCAGATACGATTCCACTCGATGAAACGTACCTTCTGGAAATAGTTGAGAAGGAGCATATGAACGTAGACGTACTGCGCGTCATTTTGCACAGAGTTGGCCCGCTGTTCGCGCACCTTCAGCATCAGCGTGTCCATTTGTTGAACAGGCTGCCCCTTCTCGATAGATTCGAGCGCGTACTGCACCACGACGACCGCTCCAGTGCGGCCGACGCCCGCCGAACAATGGACGAGAATGGGCTTACTGCAAAATCCCGGATGTCTTCAAAAAATGGATGACAGTGATAATCCCTGGGACACATTTGTGCATAGCATTTCCGGTTGGCTTTTTGAGAATTGTAGATGAGTCCCAGACTTGCATGGACCTTCCTGATCCCCTTAAACAATCCGGAAAATCGAATTCATAATTTCAAAAAAACTAAAGGTTCGTTTTCTCGCCTTTCCAGAGCTTTCAGTGTAAAAAGTAGATGGGTCAATTATTCGGACACCCCCTAGACAAATCGTCCGGGCATGGTCCGCAGATAACTGACGTTGTGGTCGTGATCAGGTTCAACAGGCGGATAGGAGCTTGATCAATCGGTGGCACTCCGCGGTCCGGCCAATCGACCCAGTGATAATGCTTGACGTCCTTCACCTTCACACCATCCTGCTTCACCTCCAAACTCGACGCCATGATTTTTGCCGACGTCTCGCAGTCCGGCAGTTTCAACTGTATAAACATGGATCACGAAAGCCATCACCAGATCACCTTTTCCAATTTGATCAGCTTGATAGTGAAAGGGCCAAAGGTCATCTCGGGTTCTTTCTTGGTGGGAAAGTATGCAGCGCACTTCTCGATCGGTCCCTCGATGTAGTTGCACAGCATGAGGATGCTTTCGACGTCTTGTTGAACAATCATCCTAAAGGGCAGCGGCTACGGTTTACTTTACCCCCCCAGCCGGAAGTTTTTGGCTATAACTTTTTTATTTTACATTATTGTAGGCTCAAATTAAAACTCTTAGTATATTTTTCGACGCTCTATCGAATGGCGTTGCAAAAATCCCGACAAAATAAGCGAAAATACCGACAACTTTGAGACCCTTCGGCTGTGCGGGGGGTAAAGTAAACTCTTACCAGGGCAGCGCGGTTTAGACGGAAATAACCCTACTTCCAATGGTCGGCCAGAGTATCTTTGATGGGCGCCTGACAGCAGATGAAACGCCTCTGATCCTTTGGCGTCGAGACATAGTTGGCATGGATATAGTCGCTGTCGCCGCCCTGTAGTAGAACACGATCATTGTCGAGACACGGCACATCTTTGTAGCGGTTCTTCGGTTGGTTATTTAGGAAGGCGACGGTCTTGTCCTTATCCGCGGTTCTGAAAAAAGCCCCGTATTCGGCGAAGGCATGTATAAAAAAGGGTGTTGTGTAGATTTAGCATGGACGATTCCGCGATTTTTCGGGTTTTTTTTCCGGTTTTTCCGCACCTAGACGCTCGGGGAAATTTTTTTGGATAAGGGGTACCATCAGGGACGTAGCGTAATACAGGCCCCGGGAGCCCGGGGCCCCCCCCGAAATCGGCCGGGGCCCGAAAATTTCATAAGGGGGGACCCTTATGTTTTTTATTTTCTCAAAAATTTTGCTGCCTGCGGCGCTATTTTTGCACGTTTTTACGGCTATTTGTAGAGCTATGTAACCTTTTTTTCAAAAATTTTTGCCTGCGGCGCTGTTTTTTCGGCACTGTTTTGAGTTTTTTGGAAAAATTTTTTCGGGGCCCCCCCCGAAATTTTTTTCTGGCTACGCCCCTGGGTACCATCATTAGGTGTAGAACTGCGGGAATCTACAGGGTGTCCCAAACCCCCTTAGCCGGCCGTAGACGCGTTCGATTTTTACGATTTAGGTATCTATCGAAAGCTCTCGGAAAGGCGAGTCCAGCACGTATCTTCGATTTTCATAATTTGGAAATTTTTCCATCAGTTACTAATGTTTTTGCAAAATGGGCGGATTTTCTGATGTTGTTCTGACCAGGGGGGTTTTTACAAAAATCGCAATTTAAGAATTTTTTCGCCTTTCCTGGCAACCCAACGACAGTTTTTTGAAAGCCGTTTGCCAAAACACAGCTTGGACAGCGCCTAAACCGATTAAATTGCGTTTTGAACAAAAAAGTCTGTCCTTTTGGCATGAAAAATGCCGAAAATCGAGCAAAAAATTCCGGCATTTCGCAAATCCGCAAGACGTGCTGGACTCGCCTTTCCGAGAGCTTTCGATAGATACCTAAATCGTAAAAATCGAACACGTCTGCGGCCGGCTAGGGGGGGTTTTTTTTGGGACACCCCGTACTTCGGTTTTACAAACTATCCTAATTAGGTTTTTGTGAGATCCCGGTCCAAATGGCTCTCCCTACCGTCACGATCGTGTCACGAACCTCTTATGTTTCGCAAACTCCTCTCGAAGCATTTCCGGCGTCTTTTCCAGCGTCGCCTTCACAAAGTCCGTGACGAGCTGCTGGTTTTCGCCCATCACCGAGGTGTTGGAGATGCTCCGGGTGCGGGTGACACAAGTCTTGGGCCCACCATGCAGGGTGTCCGTTGAAGTCGAAGACTTCTTGGCCCTAGGCTTCTTGTCCTTGGAATCGGCCGACCTCTTGTCCTTGCCGCCAGAACCCTTCGTCCGCGGCGTGGCCTTCTTCCCCATGGGTGATCGGCGGGGTACGTGGTGGGGAGTGGGCACTAGTTGTCATATGCAGTTTTTATAGCTTGAAATTTAAACTAATTTCGAAGGGGTTCCGAGATGCAATATTACAGTTATGCAATAAAAAATTTGGTGGGCGCAGATAGGCATTTTTCGGACGAACCTGGGAGCCGGATCCCTTTTCTAGGGGGCACAGAATACCTACATGACCTCAGTAAAAATTTTTCAAAAATCTCAAATTTTAACAATTTTCATGTAAAGGTTTCTATTAGAGAAAGTAGCCGTATCCCTTCACCAATTCACACAACAAGTCCGTTTTTGCATTCCTTGACCAACAAAAGCTTCCCGAAAGATTTTTGCCCAAATGGTACTTTGGAAAAGGGACATTGGCCTCACCTGGGTAAATTTTTTATAAAAGTTACGATATCGCACAAATCAATAAAAAAACATTTCCAATAATCTTTGGCTACTATCTTTCATGTAATCCGGTGTGAGGGATGGCTCTCCAAACCCAGACGAAGGCAGTGGAGCCAGATTTCGGTCCACTGTTTACGTGGCCCCAAAAAATTCCTGTTACTTCCCGGTACTCTCTGCTCACGTTTACATTTTGCGTAACAAGACGCCTCAAACATGGTCAGTGGCCATACGTTCCGTGAAATCATTTGGGTACTCCGGAAATCCGGTTCGAATGGATCGGCGCGAATTCCGTATCCGCCTCGCTCGATGTATTGCAGCTTCCTTTTGCTAAAAAACGCAGTTTCGTTTCTGAATCCGTTTGGCAACGGGCTTCCACGGCGTGGCGGTGTCCCAAAAATCAAAAATCAAACTGCCTCTGACTCGACGGAGAAGTGTCGGATCAGGGTGAAAGTTGTGCCATTCGAAAGAGTGCATACCAAAAACAGGCAGGTACTATCGGCCGTGAGTGCTCATAAGCGCTCTTTTTGTTTATATCCTAATATATATAAAAAATAGTGTCGTGTGTGTGTGTCGATTTGCATGCAACTTCCGTCTGTATGTCCGGAGGATAACTCAATAGGGGATGAATATTAGGGTACGTATGATCCTACTATATATAAAAAAATGGTGTCTGTGTGTGTGTGTGTGCCACTTTGCATGCAACTTCCGTCAGCGTGTCCGGAGGATATCTCAAGAGGGGCGGGAACACGGGGACGTATGACACATCATTAGACGCGTAATGGTCTCTAGAGGACTGCACGCATATCAGATTTTTCAAAATCGATTGTTTTCGACATTAAAAATTAAGTTTTTTCTTTATAGATCCGGACAACCTCTTTGTTAGGAAAAATTAGCATATGCCAGAAGTTGCGGTAGCCTATATAATGGGAAAAAGGGAGTTTTTCATTATTTTTCACCGCAGTTCGGGTGTATTATGCAAAGTGAAGAATTTCATGAACTCAGACGGGGGCCAGGGTTGAAAAGTCGCGAAGCGGCTTTTCAACCCTGGTACATCATTAGGTGCGTAATGGCTCTGGGATGACTGCACGCATAACAGAATTATCGGAATACGCTATTTTCGATAATAAAAAAAAAGTTTTCTAAAATTTTCGAGAACCCTCTTTGGGAGGAAACAATTAGCATATACCGGAAGTAGAAGAAGCCTATAAAAAGGGATGGAAGGAAATCTTTTCATTTTTGTCAGCTCGATTGAGACTGAATTATCAAATTTTACAGTTTCATGTGTCCAAACAGGGGCCAGAGTTGAAAAGTCGCGAAGCGGCTTTTCACCCCTGGTCGCAAATGATTTATATAAAAACTATATAACTAAGTCCAAAATATGTAGAAGATATTATAGTATATTAAATCGCATTAAATAATGGTATAAGACGTTTATTAAGCCGTATTTCTGAATAAATTACGCTGCGGGCGATAGTACCTGCCTGTGCTTTTGGTATGCCGTATTCGAAAGCCCTTGAACCCTGAAAGAATGGATTTCCAAGCATTTTCCACCCTGGTTTTTGTTAAACGAGCGCAAGTTCTTGAGTTAGCTCCCATGAAATCCGAAAAACTTTACGAAGCTGACTGCAAAATTTGGCGCTCAAATAAAAACATGGTTATGAAGATGGCTGCAAACCCGCCGCTTCAAGGGCTTGAGAATGAAGTAGCTATCATCCCGCTGCGCTCCCTCTACGTCGAGTTAGAGGGGTGTTTTTTATTGAAACACCCTTTGTAATTTCCTCGCTCGCTGCCAGTGGATTCAAACGAAGCCACAAGAATCTGCAAGAATTTTATCTCAACAAATTACACGCTAGTCTTCATCATCGAAGCCGTCGTTCTCCCGCACGTAGAGGTCGTAGCGCTCGAGGAGGCCGACGCCGACGCTTGCGCATGCCATGCCCGCCCCCATCGAGCCGAGGAACACGCCGAAGAGCTGGAATTTGACAGTTGCCACTTTCACATCACACACTAGCGTTTTTGATCTGCATAATGCGTCGAGTTTGCGAACCGGACGAAAAGTTGATCATTTGACCGCCCCATGTTACATGCCGGGCGCTGGCTGCCCCACTAGTCCAGGTGCTTTTCCCTGTTCCCGTGCCTGTTTCCCTGTTTTTGTCACTGTTTGACTGGTTTGTATATTCATCCTTACGCTTCACCGAATTTCCAAAAACATAATCCTTCATTAGAATTTGATAAAAGCGTTACCTTGACGAGCGCAAAACGGCGCGGAGTTATTGGCATTGAGGCGACGCGGATAGGGTACATCGTACTCTGTTTCGAGTGGCGCGGCTGCCGGCGCGGTAACGCCCTCTGGCACGGCTGCCGGCACGATGGCACGGCTGCCGGCGAGCTAAAATCCGGCGCGGCTGCCGGAACAGCCTTCGGCACGGTTGCCGGCGCAGCTCGAACGGGGTCCGGGAGGCCAAATTCGGCACGGCTGCCGGCACGGTATTTGGCGCTGCTGCCGGCACAGCTGCACGGCACGGCTGCCGGCAGACCACTGTCGCTGAGCCGCAACGCGTCATAACTTAGAAAAATTTCGGCCACGCGCTAAGTATTGTTTTTTTGTCATAATAATTCTTCAAAACTTTTTATATTGCCGCGTTTAGGTCATGTTCAAGAAGGAACAATAAGGAATAGGTACTACGCCATCAGCTACGCGGTTTCTTACTGGTTTATAGGTATAATAATTTGTTTGTTATACGCTCGAGATTTCAGGTGAAACCTTTAGGCCACAATTATGAGGCAAGAAAAGTCGATCAGCATGCTTCATGGTCGAAGAACACGGGCCGGTTTTCGCCCTCAGGATCCGTTGAGTCCAGGGGCGCGCCTTAGCAGTGACAGCCGTTTATGTCGCGTAATGCAACTGATTACTCGATGGTTTGTTGAAAGAAAAACTATTATAAGTGTAACAAACTCTATTGCTTTGATCACAAGTTTATTTTACCCATAATATTATTATACTAACGTTCACGAGGGCGCATTGTATATATTTTTGCAGGTCGACCCTTTACAACGGGCCGCTCAATTCTTTCTTGCTTGCATGTAGAAAACAAAATACTTGGAAAAAATCATGCAGGAATCTACAAGAAGACAATATCAAATAGCTTCTAGGCTCACGGGATCAACGGAAGCCACTTTATATATGTAAAAATATGCTCTGAGGAATTCGGAACCACGACAGTGCAGTTATCCTGTTCACTTTCCGCAATTTCAGCCGATGCCCAATACCCGCTAGCGTAAGGTACAACGCTAATAACCGTGTGAACCGGAAATTTACTTTCGAAAGAAAGAACGGCAGCCTACGTTTTGGACTTGCATTCTGGCAGTCTAACCCATTGTTTGAAAACTTCCTCGTTCCCCAGAAAAACCTTAGCGTTTCATAATTGCGTTTTTGACAAATGTGAGCATAGTAACCCCTACTTTTTATCCTGCATCGCTTCGAAGTGCGGCCTGAGAGCTTCTTGCTGAATACCATCAAGTCACAAGTCGCATATCTGGTTTTAGAATGCCTTGGTCAATCCTGATCCATCCTCGTCGTATTCAAGCTTTTCAGCGTCGCGCTTATTGTTGGAGCATTCGTAGTAGCCGTGGGATCGAGCCAAGAAGCTAGGTGACTCGAAGGCATACTGTCTTCCTGTAGATTCCTGCATGATTTTTTCCAAGTATTTTGTTTTCTACATGCAAGCAAGAAAGAATTGAGCGGCCCGTTGTAAAGCGTCGACCTGCAAAAATATATACAATGCGCCCTCGTGAACGTTAGTATAATAATATTATGGGTAAAATAAACTTGCGATCAAAGCAATAGAGTTTGTTACACTTATAATAGTTTTTCTTTCAACAAAACATCGAGTAATCAGTTGCATTACGCGACATAAACGGCTGTCACTGCTAAGGCGCGCACGGCATACCAAAAGCACAGGCAGGTACTATCGGCCGCGGCGTAATTTATTAAGAAATACTACTTAATAAACGTCTTATAATATTATTTAAGCGTTTTAATATACTATAACATCTTCTACATATTTATAGGACTTAGTTATATAGTTTTTATATAAATTATTTGCAATATATGCAAAAAGAGTGCTTATGAGCACCCGCGGCCGATAGTACCTGCCTGTGCTTTTGTGGTATGCAGGGCAGCGCCCTGGACTCACGGATCCCGAGGGCGAAAACCGGGCCCGTTCGGAAGAACTGCCTGAATTGATGATATTTAGCAGGTACATTGCTAATCGAGTTTAGATAGAAGCTTTTCGATCGGCAATCATGTCCGGTAACTTATTTACATTGAAAATATGGATATTTGCCCCATGTTACAAACGGCGATTGTTTGGTGGGGTATAATTTACCGTTTTTTTAGGCGCTGAACCCGAAGTGGCGCTTTTCTCACGCTAGACTTACAATTTGTACAATTACAATTTGTTAGTTATTCAATGTTGAGGGAGCCTAGACAAGCTGCAAAGACTGCAAGGAGAAAGTAAGTCGTTTTGAACTGCTTGAGCAATCATTGAATAGAATCTAGTTATTAGGTCAACGCTACAAGATGCTCGGCACCTCTATCGTCAACGTTTAATCGTAAGTTCGCCAAGAAAAAGACTGGCTCCGATTTATGAACAATAGAAAACCAAAGAAACCAACTAATTTAGTTATTACTGCGGCTTCCGTTTCAACTACGCGACGGTGACGGCGATATGCACAACCACAACTTAAACGCAATAAAAAAAGCAACGCTGTTTTTATATGCCGAAAAATAAGCGTAAGGTGTGCCGGCAGCCGTGCCACAGCCATTTTCGGCCCAGTTGCCGGCGCGGCGTGCCGGCAGGCGTGCCACGGCACGGCTGCCCGGCGCGACATTCGGCAGCCGTGCCGAAGGTGTGCTGGCAGCCGCGCCACTCGAAACAGAGTAGTGTTATAATCGGCTTTTGAGCTCTTTTTCTATCCATCTTTTAATTTATTTTTGTTACATTGCGCTCAATAAGCTACGAGGCAATACACATGACGGCTTAGCGTTGCGCCCGGTCCGGTTGAGAATTTTGGGATTTTTGAATTTTTGATTTTGTCAATTTGTAGTTTGTTCAAATTAAATTTTTAAAGCAGTAATTGCGCAGTGGTAAGACTCTAGTTTACCCCCCCCAGACGCCCCCTTTTCTCTGCGCCCTCTCCCCCAAGCCTACTATCTCTTCGCCTGCGTCCTCTCCCCCAGGCCTACTATCTCGCCTGGGGGGGGTAAACTAGAGTTTAGCCTGCGCAGTTTGTAAAGCTCGAGCCCAGGGAGCTTCCGGAGGTGGATTAGAGTACCACAGACATTAGTTTTGGACTATTATACTAGTTTTAACGCATTACTACAAGATTTAATACGAACTACGACGTTTCTAACCTTATACTGCAAAACTGTCTTGAGCTCCCTGGGCTCTCTGGGCTCGAGTTTTACTAAATACCCAGTAATTGAATTGAATCAGTTTTTGTTTTAAAAATAAGTGTTTATAAATACTTTTGGAGCTATTGATGTTTGGGGGGGCATTTTTTTTGGTGGCCTGGGTCTAAGCTTAGACTTAGCTTTAACTTTGCGTACGCTTGGCTTAGACTTAGCTTATGCCTAAGCTTGGCGTAGGCTTAAAGGGATGCCGACGGCATAGTCAATCGGTTGCGCGCTGGAAAGAAAATGTCTCTGCGCCTCTCCCCAGGGCGCGTTCTCTGCGCTGTTGGCTACTTGCCAATTTGTTGATGGGGGGGATCGACACATGCCGTCGGCAGCCCTTTAAGCTTAGCTTAGGCCTAGGCTTGGTTTTGGCTTAGCTTAGCCTAGTGGTATACATTAGTTTCGCCTAGCCCAGCTTAGACTTTAGCTCCAGAGCTAGCTTAGGATTAGCTTAGACTTGGGCTTAAGCCTAGGCTCGGCTTAGGTTTGGCTTAGGCTGGGCTTGGCTTGGTTAGCTTAGGCTTTGAGACAAGCTTATGCCAGAAAAAGCCCCCAAAAAAAAAGATGCCCCCCCCCCCCCAAACATCAATAGCTCCAATACTCTTGAACCCAAACCGTTGAAATCGTGGTGGATTATCACCTCCTATGAATTTCCTATACTCGTGTCCCTTCCTTCTGCCTTTTTTTCCACCCACACTTCCATCTATATTTTTGCCACTTTTACAGCCCAACAAATGCCGATGAAGCGAGTGACGCCGCCGCCCCAGTTCCGCGATGAGCCTACCAAGGCGGCCGACAACAACATACAGCACGAGGGTCTGCATGGAGCTGAAGGACTGGTCCGTTTCATTTCTCGGCCAGTGTGTCCATTCGAAATATACAACGGGCGTCAGCGCTGTCGGTACTAATATAGGCTTGAGTGCATCTACAGGTGTGTAGAGTATACCAAAATGTTCGTCTTGCTCTGGCGAGTATTTTGGTATACTTTACACACCCGTAGATGAACAGGGAGCTGAGATACAAAAGTTGGGTGCCGGCTGGGGGGGGAGGTAAACTGCACTTTAGCCCTAATATACTTTCGGGAAGGAAAAATGTTTGATGGTCATTAGGTCATTAGGTTCTTTTTGTTTGGGATTGGCCTAGGCTTAGCTTACTCACGTTATCGGCGTCTTGGCATAATTGCTTGACATAGCGTCGCTTCCATTAGTTTACTTTACGGATTGCTAAACTTCATTTAGCTAGATATTGATATTTCTGTGCTCCCGAATACCGGCACTAGACTAGGCACAAAAAACGTAGCAAAAAATAGTAGCCCAAAAACAAATACCAAAGCCGGCTACGGTTTACTTTACCCCCCCCAGCCGGAATTTTACATTATTGTAGGCTCAAATTAAAACTCTTCGTTTATTTTTCGACGCTTTATCGAATGGCGTTGCAAAAAACTATTACCCCAAAGCCCCTTCCAAGTCATATTAGTACCGTACAGTTTGGCCCCAGATTGTTAGGCGAGGTCATGTCAACACATCCGGCCAGCCGTGGGCGGCAGGATGTTGACGCAAAATTCAACCTGATCATCTTTCTGATTTTAGTACAAGATACAGGCGCTGATCGAACTGATGGCCAATCGCGCCCAGACGAACGAGAATCCAGAGTATCTGCTTCGTTGCGTTGGACTGGACTCGCAGCAGTTGCAGAACTTGAACAGTAATATGTGAGTTTTCTGCTTTGCGCCTGAGCATCCGTGCTTTATCTCGACCCCTTTAATGCGGTGTCCCTGACTTGTGGTGTTTCTGGGGTCGATTTCAACGATTTGCCTGGGGACTGCAATGCGTATGGAGACGGGCGGGGTGGAATAGATGGTATGGGTGCGGCGAGTTAGCTGGCGTCGGCCTGCAGCTCTTAGTTGTTCGAGGCGAACCCGTTTGCGCGTTGGTGCACGGCGGACTCGGCTGTTCATGCGTCACAGGCATGCCACACGGCTTCTCCTCTTTTCCCTTCGCCCACCCCCAACCAACTAGCGCGCTTTCTAACACAGTGAGGTACCCCCTCATCATCATTCGCCGATATTACCCAAGATTTCTTCGCCTTTGCGATCGTTTACATTTTTGAACTAGTTACTTGGAGATCGTCGTTAGTCTAATTCTTTACACAAGGCTGAGCATAATTTGGATTTTCCCCATACGCAGTTCGTTTTCTGTAAAGGCCCGTTATCAACCGGCCATGCTCTCTAGTTAGACTTTTTCGATCCTAGTTGGGTCCAAGTTGCACTCTGCACTTTTGGCTAGCTTTTCGCCATAACTCCCCTTTGGTTTTTTGCCTAGCTGCGTCTGTTTTGAGAATTACGCAACCGTAGCAAATAGTCCCGACGCACTTTGCCAGCTGCCGAGTGGGATCTGTTGCCGGCTGCCGGCCCGGGCCCTGTTATTTCGGCTCCCTTTTTGGCCCATTTGTTGACTATATTTATTTTTCGCTGCGGGCTGCCGGTGTGACAATAGGGTCCAAGCGGTCGGGTGTGGGCTCTGCCGGGCGGGCGTTTTGTGCTGGTGCGTCTGTTTGATGCTGTCTGTCTGCGTCTCCAAATTTCACTTTCCCCAGGCTGCCACCAGCGCTCTGCGTAAAGCACAGGAGGTCCCCCACACCACCTATTCTCTTGTTTTAACAAGTGGCAGGAGGGGGGGGTGGAATCTCCTTCACTCATTCACTCTTTCCTGCGTCGTGGCTCACGTTTTTTACCCAGTGATCTATAGCGGATATAGTGGGATTTTCGCTCCCCACGGAACTCATGCTCTCTCATCGCCACTCGGCCTTGCAAAAATCTTTAGTGCGCTCTTTTCGTTCCTCTTTCCCACCTCGCTGCTTCTGGTCTTGTAATTATGATTAAGTTTCAGATCAAACCCGTCGACCATATCAACATAGCTGAAGCTCTTCTGTATTCCCTCTCCCGAACCCTCTCAATCCCCATGTCTGTAGCGTCTATTGACTCTGGATTCGCAAATGAAGCTTTCTATGAAGATGATAGCTTTCATACGGCCTCCGATTTAACGAGCTGTAGCCCAATCGGCACAGATGAGGAAGATATTCGGCGGTTTGAAAAAGGCGCAGAAATACCACCGGTTCGCAAAGACCGAATAAGCCCCGGAAAAGCAGGAACGGGAGCAGCAGAGGCGGACGCGTTCTTCCTTGCTGAAAAACAGCCCATCTATTCTTGATGAACATCTCCAGTTTATCAACGCTACCCTTACCTTCGATTCGGAAGCTAAACAATCAAAGGCTTACGAGGACATGGCGCTTCGCGTTTACCTGTACTTTCAACATTTGCTCGTCTCCATCCGGAAACAACAAAAAATGTGTTTGAAATTGACATATGAGATCACGACCCTAGATGGGAGATGGGGCTCTGACAATCTATACAAATCTATTCGCGATTCTACCGGCTGTAATATTCCTCAAAGCTGCTTCAAAGACACGACGGGGCTGGCAACGGGGGCGAACCATTGGGCCATCCCGCATCCCGTCGTGCATCTCTCCCAAATGATTACTCAGATCGAAACCTATATGGGCTTTTTAGAGAAGTTTGGGACTTTTCTCGGCACCTTTCAATGATATCTTTTTCAGGCTCCTCCCTCAGCTGCTGCAGTACTGCCTCAACCAGCAACGGCACAACGGCTTCAACGAGTATGCTCCACGTGCCAATGTCGACACTTCAAAGCCGGGTAACTTTTCTTGGGGGGCGCCGGCTTTTTGAGCAAGTTGTTAATCAAATTTGGTACATTGGGCACTGTGGGAAAGGTGTACTTGTAGATAAAGGGTAAACTTTTTGCATTACTTCTGTAGTATTTCTATGTTTCAGTAATAAGGTGTAAACCAAAGTCCGGTAGTTATTTTTGGATCATGATTGTAATCGGTGGCTAAGCTCAAGCATCTAGGCCGATCGGATCCAGCAGCCCGGGCGTTTTTTCCCTCCCGTTCCGCGATCCTTCCTTTGTCTCTCTCTGCTTCACTTTCTGCCGCGCTCTCCCCCATCACACGCGACAGGCATCCCCTATCGATTTTTCTCTCTCGCCGTCCGATACGGGCTTTTTACCCTGATTTTTATCTTCACTCCCTGCCTAGGTGCCCCGAATTTTGAGCCTCTTACTATTCTCGTGCTAATTTTCTGCGGGTAGTCTTGCTGGGCAGTGATGAGCCCGTTAATCGGACGATCCCGACGTGTCGCCCTGGAGAGCGCGATGCAACGGAGATATCTTGAAGATTTGGACGAGCAATATTTGGCAAATCTAGCCGGGGTTCCGCCGACGCGCCCAACTTTCGAAGGAACCGCACCTCCGCCCCTGTCCACATGGGCGCTTCCTACGGTTCAAATGGCACGTCTACGAAAAAACGCCGTACCCCGGCGGCTATTGAACCACCCCGAGTATGGCCTCATTTCGCGCTTCTCCCCTGTGAGGAGTTGCGGGGCCTCCTCCGACTCTAGCGAGTCGTCGAGCTGTTCACCAAATAGTAGTGAAACATCGGGATTTGAAGAGGCGTCGTCGAGCAGCGAGTATTTCCACGACGATGACTGTTTTGACGTTCCGAAGGCCGCTTCCAAGTCTGTTGTCGTGATGACAGACATGGGGTTTGCGACCGTCGAACGGGCTCATCAAAAAGCTAAAATATTGCAAGTGTATGCGGAGCCATGCCTGCGATTTTACGCCCTACCCCCTACACCGTATTTCGCGGTTATTAATGTTGGACCCACGGCAATGGATGATATTCGTCGGCAGAGCATAGAAAGTGGTATAGATTCATGGGTGTTGCTAGCTTAGGCATCTGGGAAAATATTATTCTCGCAAGACTAATTTAATTATTTTTTTAGGCTGCTCGACTGACAGCACCTTTGTCGACCATTCTCTGGGGTCATCTCGAAGCCGTGGTCCGTCCCCGCCGAATGTGATGCTCGATCAGGAAGGACGCTACAACGTATCAAAGTTGGATGTGGTGAGTCGTTGCGCCACAATCCCTTCAATTTTCTTTTTTTAGATGAGCGAGGAAATTTGGGATTTCCACAACAGCGTCGCGCAGACTGACACGACGCTCAACCGCAAGCTCTACCTGCGCGATTTGTTGTACTACGCGATTTGCCCGATTTTCCCATGTAAGAAGCCGTTTTGGGACCAAACGTCAAGTGTCTAGTATGCGGCCTGTACGTTGTCGGCTCGTCATTGAATGGATTTGGCAACAACTCTTCGGACATGGACATATGCCTTATGGTGACCAACCAGGAGGTAAGCTTTTTTACTTTTCTTTCACAGCGGTCTGTTTTTACTAATGAAAATGTCAAACATTTTTTCAGCTTGACCAACGCCATGATGCCATCGTCATTTTGAACATGGTCTTCCAAACGCTGTGCAAGGTGGAATGGGTCAATGCCCAGACGTTGATTTCTGCCAAGGTATCCAGGCATTTCTTTCGACAACCGTTGTTTAGGTTCCGATCCTGCGGATCACGTTCACGGCGCCCTATTCCGATATTGTCGTTGACCTGAATGTGAACAATTCGGTGGCCATCAGGAATACACACTTGCTCTGCTACTACTCAAGCTGTGAGAGCCGCCCAAATTCCCATCATCAGCATAACTTTGTTTAGTCGATTGGCGCGTCCGGCCACTCGTCTCGATGGTAAAGGAGTGGGCCAAGAAAAGGGCATCAATGACGCCAGTCGCTCGTCTTTCACCTCGTATTCGCTCGTACTGATGACAATTCACTACTTGCAAGGTACCGCCACTTTCTTGCCCTTCAGAACGTATTTTTAGTCGGCGCCAAGCCAGTGATACTTCCTTCGCTACAAGAGAAAATTCCCAAGCGATTTGGAAATGATGCGGACGTGCGCTCACTGAATGTTTCCCAACCGCTGCCAAATGTGGACGTTGATGATGGGACAAACACGGAAACGCTGGGTGCTCTGCTGCTCGGCTTCTTCAATTACTACACCAATGACTTTGAGTTAGTTTTTTCAATGGGATCTGATCTTCTCTGTTTTCTGATTATTGCGCAACACTTCATTTTTATTTTATTTTCATTTTTCAGCTTCAACGAGGATGCGATCTCGGTTCGTTTGGGCAAAAAAGTGAGCCGCATGGAAGTTGTCAGTGCCCCGGCCAGTGTCAACCCACATTGGAAGTCTCAATGGCGTTGCTGCTGTATTGAGGTGCGCTCACCTCTCTGAATTGATCCAACGCTTTTTGTTCAGGAGCCTTTCACCGGCATGAATACAGCCCATTCGATTTACAACGAGGAAGTGTTCAGTGAGATCAAGGTTTTACAATTGTTGTCTACCCGTAACCAGGATTTTAGATGTCTTTCAAAGAAGCATACGAGACACTCAACGAGACGCACGACCTGAGCAAACTGCTCACCGAGTGCAAGAAGATCAACGCCAGCCAAGACCTCACCAGCACCGGCTCCACCATCGTCCACTACCAGAAGAAGTAGCCGACGACCGCAAGACCCAGCCTGCCCATCGGTTTTCCCCGCTAGCTGCCCCGTCCCATTGGTCCCATTAGGCTTTCATAGCATGGTAGCATCCCCATTTCCCCCTTCCCCATCCCCACCCGTCTTGTATCTCATTTGATTAATTATTCTTGTAGATTGATTTCCCACCTTTAATATTTTAAAAGGAATCTGAAGGTCACCACTTTTAGATTCCACAAAAAAAATTAAAAAAACTCCATATATACTAAAAAATATCTCGTTTTTTATTAAATCGTTTTTCTTCTTGTATGTAATTTACTTCCCTGTCCTTCTCTCTCTGTGTTTGTATTTTTGTAGTCGCCCAGCCCGGTCGGCACATCAAGTCAATCAAATGCGCAACAAATTCCACCTTGTGTAGACTGTGGTTTGGTGTCATTTTTCGAACGGCGCAGATGAGCAATATTTCCGTGTTTCACTGTGCCTGCGTCGTTCACCCCCTTTCATGTACAATTGTTGCATGTAACTTCTTGGCTGACGCCATGCCGTGAACGGGCATCGGCTAGGCAACCATTGCTTCTGTCTGGCTCGAAATCATCACTTTTTGTTCATTGCTGTGTTGTGACAATTTATCCATTAGATGTGCCTTGAGATTCCTGTCTTCTAGTGCCTCGTTCCTGCAGACCAGCATGTGTCCCCACATCGTCGCTAGATAGTTGTATGTCTTTCTCTCTGGGACTACCGTCTGCGCCGTCGTCATATGGTCATCTCCTTTGCCATCTTCGACGGTTGCGTAATAACTGTCAAATGAGCAGCGATCCCTGTTTTTTTGTAGTCTTTCTGTGAGGGTCTACCGTTTCGAGTTCTCATTTATCGTCTTTTGCTTTTTTAGAACTGCAAAAATTGAAATCGGCCAGCAAATTTTTTCTATATGGGGGTTTGAGGGTCTGAAAGTAAAAGCTCAAAATGGCATTTTGGACTGCCTCTGAAATGGAATGGTGGACCCTCTATTAACCTCATTACTTGTTGTACTTACTTCCGCATTCGCCCTTTCCAAGTACGATTTTGATAATGCCCGGGTCCACGTTTTTGCCGTCGTTCAGTTGTTTCCGTTGAAGGTGCGCGAAGGGATGGCGCTTCTGCTTGTCCGAACGACCCATTTTCTGCCAGACAGCAGGAGGTCGTCTCTTTGTGCTCCTTTGTACAATTCGTTCCTCGTCTCTCTTTCACTACCGGCAATCAGTCATGCTTTCCACCCGACACATGTTGCTCTCCCTCACCGGTGTCCATAACCCCCCGAGTCTGACGCGTGTAGAAACCCCTTATCATTGTCGGCTTCTGACATTCATCAACGGGCTCCTCTTTGCCTTTCTTTGTGCTTCGTCCCGAGCTACCCTTCCGAAAAATTTTATACGTCCAGTTGTCGCTGAACGACTAGGTTATACTCAAACATAGCATTCGCGGAATGGTAGCTCGAAGACGGCCTCCTACTTTTACTAGGTTTGCATTAAACTGCTCAACCAAGCGTAGTTTTGATGGTAATCCAGTGGAAGCTCGGGAGCCGTATTTGTTTTCTCCTCAAAATGCCTTCAATTTGCGATGTGTTTTAACTTTTGCGAATAAAGGTTATAAAAGTCTACTCAGTCACCCAAAAAAGTCATATGGCTTCTGAAATACACACACAAAGGCATCTTATCTACATCAGAAATGGTTAATGCAATGCGTCTTTGATGCGGCCCCCTAAACACCTTCATCCAGACGGTCCGAAGAGTCGGGGCCACCACATCGAAATTTGAGCTGTCGGATGCCACCCTGGAAAACAACAGCGTCTCATTTCATGGTACACGGCGATTCATCCTTTAAGAAAAACGCGCACGAGAAGTTGATACCTTGGCTTGGCTCAGGCTTGGGCTTGGGCCTAACTTAGGCTTGGTTTTGGCGTAGCTTAGGCTTAGTTTAGGCTTACTCCGGTCTATGGAAAAGCTTAAAGCAGCCTCAGCTTAGCCTTGTTCTAGAATTAGCCTAGGCTTGTGGTGGGTTACGCTTAGGCTGGGCTTGGCTTTTGGCACAGCTTAGACTTGGAGACAAGCGTAGACGGGAAAAAACTCCAAAAAAAAGATGCCTGCCCCCAACATCAATAGCTCCAAATGGGTAGTAAAGCCCTCAAATTATGATTTGCCCACCGATGGACTCTCGATACCCTTGTTATTCCTGGAACTGAAATCAGCCATCGCTAATTAGCTCGGACTTTCATTAATTTGGCCGAATCCAGAAATATTCAACCTTTCGACTTTGGACGGGACTTAATTGAAGTGCAAAGCGCGGAGCAGACATCCTGTCTTTGGCTCATGAATTTTTGACAGTGACTGACAGAAAGGTGGGAATATTCAATGGAATAGCTGTGATAATGCGAACTACCCAAAGAACATCCCATGATCTTTTGTCGCGGGTGCAAAAATTCTTTTTCATGTCGCACTTTTTATTCGTAAATCGCGTCTCGCCCTAAACGGCGTCAGCGCCAAGTGAAATGAAGCCCGAGGCGCGCGGGTCCAACCAATCCGTTAATTTCTATGTGAACAACAAGTTCCTGAGTCCTGAAAGGGCCACTTGCCCCAACGACGCCGATTTCGGGGTGGCCGCTATGGATGAGCGCTTTTGTGGCCTCCGCCTTACGCGCCTCTTACCCACGGTTGCCCCAGTCCACCAAAAAAAAAGCGTGTTTTGCCATGCACCACTTGCTGGTTGAACATCAACGACCTTGTGAGCGTTTTTATTCTGAGTTTTAAAATGGGTTCTTTTTGGAATTTTTACGCTGTCCCAAATACCGATCT